ACTTTTTTTTCCGATTCATCAATAAAATTCAACTTTTATGAATTTGTACACCATAACGTTTATGTGGCTTAATTGTATGAGCACAAGTGTATGTAATACTAATTAATAAAATAAAAATAAAATAACAAAATCACAAATTTTTTCTAATTTATTTACAATAAAGAACTGTTATTAAAATCGAAAGTATATACTTAAATAGCATAAAGAAACTAACTTATGCAAAGCAAATGCTCATAAATGCCCAGTTAAAGGCGTCTACAAGCCATTCGGCTAGTCTTGTCGCCATTTGCGTGCAATGGGAAATATTATGAAATTTGTATTTCCTTTCTGAAATTACTATATCAATTAAATTCAATTTGTTGCGCTTTTTTATTTATATTTTTGACGTTTCTGCTTTGTTTTCCAACGAAGTTGTGTGAAAAAAAAGTGTAATCAAACTAAGCAAGTATGTAGTTTTGTGGCCGGGAGGGGGTTGCAGTGTCTTAAGCAAATTTACATTTAGTATGCTTTACGAGCTCGCAGATGTCCATATCAAATACATTCCTTAATTCAATTAGAATGAGCGTATTGAGCACGAGATCAGCGCCACGACAGTCTGTGCGACTAAGAAGCGCAGCCTGACCGTTAGTGATAACTAGCCAGTAGTTGTGGCTTGAGGCCTGGGGAAACATTGACACTGAACGGAAATGTTTAATAGTATATACGACACGATTAATTAATACCGTTACTACAGTAATGTGACTGATAAACAGTTATAGTGCGGGTTATGGCGTATGTTCGCAAGTGTAAGTGAATGTATGTGTATGTATGTGGATGTATGGATATATGTTATATGTGTTTCTCGTTTGGAAAATATTTTGTAATAAATATTATGTAAGGAATGATAAGGCAAAGTTCTGTAAGTTACTTGTGGGTACTGGCATACTTAAATTTGATTAAATCTGTAAATATTAATATATATATTTTTTAATTTGTTACACGAAACGATACAATTGGCGTTGCCATGTGTTTTTTAATTAAATACATTTTCTTCGTTTTTTTTTTTTGTAATTTTCTTCTGTTCAAATTAAGAAAAAATATTTAAAAAAAAAGTATTAAAAAATTTAAAACTGTAAATATAAATATTTTTTTCTAAGTTTTATTCCACGAAACTGTACAACTAGCGTCGCCATTTTTTTTTCAAACACATTCAGTTCAAACAAGGAGGTAATATTTGTTAAAAAAGAAAATATAGAAAAAAATAATAAAAAAAATTAAAACATCTAATAATCAAAATATTTTGGATTTCATATAAACATAACTGAAAATATTTACTGAATTTTGCTAAAAAAAAAATATAAAGTGTGTTTTATTTTGAAATTTTGTGTCAATAAAAATATTTTGTAATATCTGAAAACAAAATTCTCATAAAAGTCTGGAGAAGTTTGGCCATATTAGAAAAACAAAAAAAACTAAATAAACTAATAAAAAAATGAAATAAAAAATATAAAAGTGAACTATTCTTAACCCTCTTCAAAGTTTTGTCCAAGACCGCATCTTTCAGCGCCCATGTAAATCGAATAGCTACATTCATTTATCAAATTTTTTACTAATATAAATAACTCAAAGTTTATTGTAACCTCGAAGAGATTACTCACAAACACACACATCATTCAAGAAAGCCAAAATAAATCGTCGCAAATGTTGTAGAACCTAATAATTTTGACGAAAAAATTCTTGCCTGCAAAGAATTACTACAATGTGATGATTGTTTTCTCAATATTAACAAAAGCAGGCAGAATAACAAAAACAATTTAAAAGTGAAAACATGGAAAACAACATGTTTTAACAAGATCTTAAGTGCCCTTAACACAGCACTCGAGAGTCCAAAGTGTCTTTTCAGCAGTGCGCCAAAGCAGGCACACACGCACACGCGATAAACAACGGAAATAAAAATAAAAATTTTACAAAAAAAAAACAGCGAAGAAAAATATGAAAACACGCAAGACATAGATAAATAAGAAGAAAAAAGCCTTAACTTAAACACTCAGCAGAATCAAGGCATGATCAGTCAAAAATGTAACGCAACTTAGCCAAGATAAATTTATTATTCGACACAACACTGAAGCACAGGCTCTTTTAGACAAGGAATTTCGCAAACAAGTATGTGTGAGTTTTGTTGTTGTGTATATACATATATTGTATGATATTTCATTTTCATTGTCTGCAACTTTGTTTGTTTAACATTTGTAAGAAAATATATAATTGACCACTTATGTGTAATGGTCAGTTGTTGTTGCTACAAAGTACTTGTCGTGTGTTCACTGAAAGGTTAGGTTGAAGTTGGGATAAGGAAACAAGAATTAGGTTGCTTGAAGGAGAGTTAAATCTACTACACTTAATGGACCAACTGTGATGCTAATCGATAAACTAACCCAAAGAGGTGAGTTCCTCTTCTGCGCTATTCAGATCTACAGTTTGCGATGGTGTTTGGGCGCGGTATTTCGATTAGTTATATGGGGTGTATTGTGGTGTAGTTATGCAGTTACAGTCATAGGTTTATATCAAATTCCACTTCCGGTGGAAGCAGAGATAGAGGAAGACCTTTACTCCGTTGAGAAATCAGGTGGAGACGGACCTAGCTGCACTTGGTATCTCGAATAGCGAAAAGAGAAACGACTGGTGCGCTGTTCATCAAAATATTGTTTGAAACAGCTTTTAGAACTTTGAATTCCCTAATCCTCAAGGATGAAGCACACTGAACTTCAACTTACTTGACTGTTGCCTTACCGACACAATCGCTTATCAATTCCCACAACTTTTAGAATTAATGAAATATTAAAATCATAAATAAGAGAAACACTTCGGAGATAGATACTAAGATACCTTCCCAAAAGAAAAAAAAAAAAACACACACCACAAATGGAACCTGCTCGAATGATTTTCAATGTTAATCAGCAGTGATATGTGTCAGCGTTTTGTAAGCTTTCGAAATAGAGCTGCTTTTCGCGCATCATAATTTATATGTGAACGATTTTAGGTTGAAATAAAGCACAACTTTGCCTGCGCGAACTTGTCACGACCAAGACTTTAAACATACTATAAATATTCAGTGCGAATTTCATATGTTAATATGAACGATATATATGTATATATATTTGGCAGGCCTTGCTTACCTGTAATGGGTGGCGGCTCAACAATGGTTGATGGTCCGAAAAATGATGGAATATCGTTGGATGTGGTGACGGGCGTATTCAGATCGCCCGTCTGCGTATCACCGCACTGCGCGTCCGACGGCAATGACTGCTGTGACTGCTTAACCACACCGCTCGCGATATCTACGCCGTTGGGTGTGGCCGCGACGCCACCTAAACTGGCTGCCGCGTGACCGCTCGGACTGTGTTGTGCAGTATTGAGCAGACTCAAATGTGTAGCGGAATTGCGTCCACTATTATTACTGTTATTATTTGTATTGTTGGCTGCGGTGACGGCGCCTGCCGCGAGTGTTGGTGATGTAAGCGCCGCGTTCGCTTGCTGCACTGCGGTCGCTACTGTATTACAGCTGTTGTTGCTGCTGTTGCTATTGCTGCTGCTGTTGTTGTTATTGTTGTTGGCAACACCGATACGCGTGAAATTTGTGCGTGAAATAGCAGCGCTGAGCGCTGAATTTGTGCCAGCTGCCGCGGTGGTAGCTATATTATTGATGGTCGGTGTATTGCACGCGCTGCTGCTGCTGCTGCTGCCGCACGCGATGGCGGTCTGATGAGTGTTATTCGCCGTCGAGAGATTGTAGTGGAGTAGCGTTTGTGCGGCGCCCAAATGGCCACCGCCAAATGTATGTGATGGGGTGCTGAGATAGGTGGTCGCCGATGTGGCCGCGGTTGAGGGACTAGTCTGTGCGGTGGTCTTGAAGAGACACGTATCGAAGCTCAGCACATTGAAGTGTGCGGCGGCGGCGGATTCGGTTAGTAGGAATGCGTGATGCGATGGCGCCACAAGGGTTTCAAGCCCTTCCATGATCATGGCCGCTGATGGGGTTCCAGGGGCTACGCCACCTGCAAGCAGAAACATGATATAATGTTTAGTTCTTTAGTTTAAATTTTGAATTAAGATATTTGTATGAATATAAATATGTAGGTACTACAAGTTTCAAAAGCTTTAAAAATATTTATAAATTTATTTAAATACATATATTTTAAATACATATATCAGCATATTATTTTATTAAAAAAAAAAATTATTTACAGTGTACTAATTCTGTCTCTTATACACATCTAGAAAAAAAAAAAATTTTTAAAAAAAAAAAAAAAAAAAAAAAAAAAAAAAAAAAAAAATTTAAAAAAAAAAAAAAAAAAAAACGGTAAAAAATTTCTAAAGCTAAAAAATATTTTTGTTTATTTATTTTTGTTTTTCACTTCATTGATCTTCAGTATGAACAAGGTTTGTGTCTCCGATATAGTGTGAAATAGTCATCTTGTGCTCAATTTTAATACTTAAGTAGTATTATAGAAAAAAAAAACAATATTTAATTTTTGCTTGAGATTCAATAATACCAGTCTTATTTTAGTCAGTATGTGCATAGTGTACGATTTAGATAGAACTTAGGGCAGTGGTTTCTCAAAAGTGAATAACCCAAAATTGCTTGGCGTAAGGTGTGTGACTTTGCTAAAATTTCTGTGTTTTAAATATTTTCTACATAAATGATTTTAATATGACTAAGTTATTGTTTGTTTAGACAAATAGCATGATGAAAGGAAACTAAAGGGAGAAAATTAAAAAAGATACTACAATTTTATGAAATTTTCACTTTTAAGAGAGCTAAAATACGCCCTTTAGTGACGCCATACGCTACTAAAATGATCTTTCACACAAACACAACAAATAATAGTATACTATAACTTTCTTTTAAATAAATTAATTATTTTAGTTAAAAAAATCATTAATTTTTAATTTTTTTAATTATTTTTAAATTATTTAGAGCAATTACAATTTCATTAATTTAAAGATTTTTGTGTTAATTGCCATTACGATCCGCTTTCTGGTGAACAAATGTCAAAATCCTGCGCACTAAACATTAATTGAATTGCTTTGACAGTAATTATACGCTTTTATTGCCAAACAGCGATATATAAAGGGTTGCTCAAAAACAATTACTAATTACAAGTCTTCAAAAAAATTTCGACTGAGCCACATTTATGGTTACAAATAATAGAAAGTAGCTATTCATTCATTGGCGCAAACGCTCTCTACATTTGTATATATACACACTTGATATTTATTTGATTATATAGGACAGCAACCATAATATTAATGTAAAATATCAGCCACCAAACGGTCTGACATCTGTGCACCCACACACGACACGCACTTAGCCGATCAAGCCACAAACAACGCGTTCACACTTGATCGAGCGAACGAACGCGCTGTCAACTCAGCGCCACGCCAGCAATTGCAACGTGTCGCCAGCAACAACAACGATGTTTAGTACAAATACTTGTTGTACACAATTGAATTGAAATCGATTAAGCACTTAAACGCAACTTGCCGAGTGAAGCAGGAGTCCATCAAATGAAGAAGCGCGAGTGACTTACCTACACATACATACAAGTACATATGATTTTAAGTGTTAAGTGAAGGGGCGGGTTGTGTGATCAATACAGTGCGGGCGGTGTGCGCATAAGGCAGCTACCAAAGTGTTCCAGTTCCCATAATGCCTTTTGGCAAGCTGTGTGCTAGGCGTTTTCGTCTACAACTCGATCAGCACTGACCCACTTTCAGCAGTCTCATATGTGTGTAAGTATGTGATTGCGAGAGTGTGTGAGTAGAAACAAGTCATACTTTTGTGAAAATTCGCTAAAAGCATACGCGCATGCGCATCAATTGTCTCATAAAAATGTCTGAAATGCATGTGAGTAGGTAAATGCCACTTTTATGTGCACATATCTTCACAAATGTGTATGTATATGTTCATGTTTAGTGCAGCTTACCAATTTTTTGAGCATTAAAAAGTTGTAAAAAAATATCAGTTGACAATTTACTTTGCGAAACGACATTAATTTGCCATTATTTACACACGAAATGTGTGCATACATATATTTATTAAAATATATTGGCATATACATATGTCTATGTGGGTATATGTGTATGTAGAGCTAGTTGCACATATGTGTACTCACAATTTAGCGCCAACTGCTGTTACGTTCAGCGTTAGCGCGGCTTTAAGTTTTCCTATGTTTGTAAGTGTATTTGTCAATACAATACAAAACACACACACATGCGTGAATATATGCATCATCGCCGCCACTGATGTCACTAATTTAATTTCATGCGTTTAATTGAATTTCACTTGACGGTGTAGAAAATGTCGAAATTGATTGTTTTATGGTCTTCTATTGTCTTTTAAATGTGTCATAAATTAGATGAGTGACGCTTGGTTAGGGTTCAACGCTTAGCGTTTAGACGTTGGCATTATTTCGCAAAAATTACAGCAACGCCTTGAAAGTTGGCATAATTTAAAGAAAAAAAAATCGCTTTTGTGATCCAAAAAGTGAAAGAAAAGGACGTTGTTTATCATGAGTATCAGCGAAAATTTAAAATTATTTTTGCACGAAAAAAGGTAGTAATAGATAAAACCCAACAACCTCTCAGCACACAGTAGTGGTGTTCACTTGAACTGCTTGGCGCTTGAAAAAACATCACTTTAGCAGCTCGCCAATTTTAAGCAGTGTCGCTACAACAACATCAGCAACGCTTGCGGCACCGCAATGGCGGCTTAGTCGGCATCAGTACCAAGTTGTAAGCAAATATACAGCTATACCTGTACATACGCGTAGCAGTCGAAACCTCAGCGCCGAACTCACGGCTGCTCATTTTATTTGACTTGTTCACTGCTTTTTAAGAAATGTTTAGCGCCTCCATGCGTGTACATACATATATGTCTATATATATAAGTTATCAGACACATATTTATACATACATATAAATATATATATTTATTATTGCTGTAGAGGAAGCTCTTTCCAACAATTTGCTCTTCGCTTGAAGTGCACTTGATGTCAGCAGCTCTGCGCTAAAATAACTACTGTGTGCACTTTATTCATTTGTTTAAATAAATTACAAAAAAAAAAAATCACACTACTTCGCCCAAAACGCTGCTCTTCTTTGTTTCTACAGCTTTTGCAAATTGTACGAGTTATTCATTGACGGAATTGCCATGAAGTGTTTTACGAGCACTTGTGCGCTATCAACGGTCAAAAGTGAAGCCGAAGTGTGCGAGCGCTTCTGTTTTTTTATATTTTATTTTTTTTTATTTTTTTTTTTATTTAAGCGATGTGGCAATATTATATTTGCAAAAAATGGTTGACGCAATTGAAGTGACGAATATTTGGTGTCAGTAAAAATGAATAAATATAATATTCAATCTGCTAAAGTAAAAAAAAAATGTTTTTAAAGATATCTTTTAACGTATTTTGAAAAATGTTGTGTCATATATTCAATTTATGTAATACTTTGCAACGATTTTCAATGAGCTTGCGCTGTAATTAATTCAAAAATTACTATAAAAATAAAGTATTGCCTACTTTTGGGAACTTTTTAAAAATATTGACCATTTTGATTAGTTAAAAAACGCAATAATATTGAAGTTTACGCACAATGCATAACGAATCTTTCCTTTTCTAAAAATAATAGGACATGTTCAAGCATACATTTTGAACAATTTTAATTACAATAATTTAATTTAATAATTTCGTCTTGATGTAGGCAAATTTTTATTATTTATTTAATTTTAAATTATTTTTGTGGGTGGAGAAATTATTTATTTATATAAAAATAAATTATATAATAATAAAATAATAATAAAATTTTACGCCTTCTGTTTACGTTAAAAGATTGCGCCGGAATGTAGGCTAATTAATATGATACTAATACTCTAATTCTGTTTGAAAACATTCCAACTTTAAAATTATTCGACACAGTACCCGCCAGGGGAAGCGGAAGCACTCCACTTCTTTGAAGAGATCAGATGGCGAAGATCCTTGCTGCACTTTGGTATCTCGAATTGGCGCCAAATTGCGAAAAAGAAGAATTCATTTCGAGATTGTATTTACCAAAATAGTTCTTAATATATTAATATAATTTATACGCAGTAAAATTTAAAAAATTACACAGTTCAGAAACATGTCACTTTTGAGCCGTCTAAATTATTTCCAGTTTTGCGCCGCAATGTAGGCTAAATTTTGATATCATTGTACGTACAATGTGTATTTTGGATAAGGGTGATTTGCATAAGTAGGCAGAATTTTAAAATTATTTCAAATTTCTAGCCACTAGTATATAACAATAATTTTTCCGAAAAACTGGGTTTCTTAAAAACCAGTTCCGTAAATATTTTGCAAATTTAAAAGCATAATTTCCCCTTTTCGACAACTTTTTAACAGTTTTGCACCTTTTAGCCCCAATTCTATGATCACTCTTTCAAGATTAACTGATAAGTAAAGCAAAAAAACAAAAATATGTGGATCTTGTTTCACTGTTTGCAATAAGAATAAGTAATAAATAGAGCCAGTGTTAGCAATCGAAAGATATAAAAAACCTATAAAAACGGAATTAGAATCACTTCCAATAGCGACAATGAAACAACAACAGCACCGCTGATACTGAATTGGAATAATTCATTCATATTTGTGACTAAACCAGCAAAGCTTGATCGAAAGCACACACACGCATATGCATATACATATACAAACACACACACATACACATTGAAATTACCATAGAGTTATTGAAAAACCCAAAACAAAACATTATTCAAAAAAAAAAAAAAAATTTGCATTGCTATAAAAAAGCGGCGACTACACGTCAGACACCAACAACTCACAGCTAAAGCAATGAATCACAAGCTAAACGCACATATACACACACACACACACGAATGAGTGTATTTAAGCATCTCATAAGAACCGCGCACAAACGCTACGTTTCGGCAAGTAGCAAAGCCGCGTTTAAGCTCAGCTCAGCCGTGCTATACTAAACAGGCGGCAGCGCTGCTCGTATG